GCTAGCAAGTTTGAGATAGGCTTTTAAAAAATGATCCCAATCGTAAGCCATTTGTATTTCAAAGAACATGTTACATTGTGGTCCAAACTTGTAGCCATAGTGAGAGTTTTGTAATGGTGCTCAGTAGTTTAAGTCCAGTTTTCTTGATAAGACCCAAACTAAGGGTTTTGGGGATTTTTTTTGTTTTGTAAGTTGGTAGTGTTTATAACTTATTTTCCTTAAAAATTTTTTTTTTCCAAGAAGAAAGCTACTTTGGACTTTCTTGGCAATGCAGATTTTATAGATAGTTCAGCAAATGCATCATTTTTCTGATTAGATCCGTATTTTGCCAATTAGTCAAATGATAGGTTTTTTTAAAGGATGTATGGTGGCTGCTCATTGATATTGTTATTTACTGACAAATTCTACTCATCATCCTGTGAACTTGTCACTCATTTCTGTCACCACTCTTTGCTCATGGGTTTCTTCCATGGACTTTTCCTGTCTGGCTCCTAATCTGTCCATTCCTTAAAGTTCACCCTGATGCCTGTGCACACATGTACATCTGGTCTCTGGAACTCACACTCACCCCTGTTTTCTCCATCCATTCCATTTTCCAGAGCTTTTAGCTGCTGAAGGGCTGTTTTTGACATTTTAAAAATTCTTTTCCACTTTCGAGGTCTTCAAATTAAGCTCCCAGGAATTGCACTGGGCACACACTTCCAGCGATGAACATTTCGATCAGAGCCAACACCTTGCCCAAATCTTTTTATGTCCAAAAGCCAGGTCATGTGTTCACCGATTTTTCTCTGGCTCCATGTAGGTCCTTTGTTCTTTGTTGTCCCTGTTCTACTGGTTGTCCCCCAGTTTTGAGGGATCTGACTATAGTCTGACAAAGATTCTTTATTGCAAATAATGCCTGACCTAAGTTTAGGGAGGCACCCTGGGCTACACCCTTTTCCACGAGACTGGGGAATAACAGTTTTATGCCTCTTCTGGTGATGGCTGCTTTTTCAACGAGACAGCACTCACTTCGATCAAACCGCTTTCTAGATTCAACTACACATTTCTGGATGAGATAATGAGGGATTTTGATGGTATTTCACAATTATCCTGAGTCTCACTGTTCTGATATTGCATTTTGAATATTTGTGCAGAAAGATATTTACAATGCAGCCTTCTGTGAAGGGAGAGAAGTGATCTGCCTTATTTAAAAGTTTTCTGAACATTCTGTCGATGTTAACAGAAGCAACCTGTGCTTTTTGGCTCATCTACTTTGGATTATGTATCTGCAAAATAAATTTATGAGGACAATAACATGAGCAATGTTACAAATTGCAAACATTAAAAAAGACAAATATTAACTACTAGATTAAGATCAAATTCAACGAAACAGGAAAAAAAA